AAGCTGGACTCTATGAATGAAGAATGTGGCATCAGATTGGAGGAAGACTCATTAACAACCTGTGATATGCAGAAGACGCAACTTTGCTTGCTGAAAGTTAGGATGACTTGAAGTACTTACTGATGAAGATTAAAGACTACAGTCTGCAGTATGGGTTACATCTCAATATCAAGAAAACAAAAATCTTCACACCTTGTCCAATAAACAGCTTCACAGTGGATGGAGAAAAGATTGAAGTTGTCTAGGTCTTCATATTACTTGGGTCTACAATCAACATCAGTGGAAGCAGCAGTCAAGACATCAGATGACGTAGTGCATTGGACAAATCTGCTACAAAGGACCTCTTTCAAGTGATGAAGAGCAATGATGTCTCCTTGAAGACTAAGGTGCACCTGACCCAAGCCATGGTATTTTCAATCACCTCTTATGCATGAGAGAGGCGGACAATGACTAAGGAAGTCTGAAGAAGAGTTGATGCTTTTGAGTTTTCTGCTGGAGAAGAATGCTAAGAGTGCCATGGACTGCTAAAAGGACTAACAAATCTGTCCTGAAGGAAGTGCAACCAGAATGCTCTTGGAAGTGAGAACGGTCATACTGTGCTTTACCTACTTTGGTCACGTTGTCAGAAGGAACCATTCGCTGGAGGAGGATATCATACTTGGTAAAGTGGAGGGTCAATGAAGAAGGGGAAGGCCCTCAATGAGATGGATTAATACAGTGCTTGCAATGATGGGCTCAGACATAGGAAGGGTTGTGAGGCTGGCACAGATCAGGCAGATTTTGTTCTGCTGTGCATAGGGTTGCCATGAGTTGGAGACAACTCGACAGAACCTAACAACAACAATTTCATCACATGGAAAAAACATTCACCTTTCATTTATTATGTTTGTCAAGGTTGATATACTGAATTATAAGTTAGTTTATATCTCAAGGATAGATAAAAATAGGTAAAAATCCAACTCACTTGATATGGAAAGACTACTACTTTAAGCCATTAGGGGGAAAATCCATCTAAAATTTAAGTTTTGTGTTTTTAAAGTGTATTACATGATGAGGGAAATACAACTTTCTAGAAAATTGTGAAAGATATAATTCTTGTTATCTAGGGCTGCTAGAATACAAATACCACAGGTGGATGGCTTTAACAAACAGTAATTTATTATATCACAGTGTAGGAGGCTAGAAGTCAGAATTTAGGCCACCAGCTCTGAGGGAAGGCTCTTTGTTAGCTCTAGGGGAAGGTCATTGTCTCCACTCAGTGGGACTGGCCTTCCTTGGAGATCTCCATAGAGTAATGATATCAATCTTCCTCTGAGTCCAGGAGATTCACAGACCAGGGACCCTGGGTCCAAAGGACATGGTCTGCTCCCAGCTCTTCTTTCTTGGTGGTACTGAAGTCCATCTGCTCTCAGCTTACTAGTATAATCTCTTTTATATTTCAAAAGAGACCGACTCAAGGTACAACCTGATCCTGAAGATTGCATCCAGCCTCATTAACATAACACCGTTAATTCTGTCTCATTATCACCATAAAGGTGAGCATTTACAACATGGCATAATTACATCAGATCCCAATGGAGGATAATTACAAAATACTAAGAATCTTGGCTGAGCCAAGTTGACACATTTTTTGGGGACACAATTCCATAACCTGTTCTATACTAGAATAAAAGCAACATTTCTTAATCATTAAAATTCCCAACACAAGGTTTTCTTTTGCACTCATTTTGAGTTGTATATGAAAGATCTAATGATCAGAAAAACACAGTTATTTTCAAATTTACTTGCTTAAATGTTTTCAGCCTCCAAACTAGAAATTGTATTAAAGTTTCAAATCTATGCCATTCCTATGTCCCTGCAGAACACAACAGTGAACTGTTTTAAGTATGTGTGCACAAGAATGACTTGTGTTTCCAAGGAAGAGAGGAGTACACTGTACCTTGTGGGCCAATGGTCAGTCATAGTTAATTATGAACAGTGTGAATTGCAGTTCCAGAGGAGACAGAAATCTGAGCCACAAGATGCCTCAAATTAGTAGTCCCGTTGAAAATTTTGAAAAATGCCCCTGTATAAAATCATGCTCAGATGTTCAGAGTACAGGCCATACCTGTAGTGATTCAAATATTGTCTAACAAGTTACTGAAGTTCCTGAGTGCTGACAAATGGTAGCACATAACTGTTTACTGAGAGGCTGAAACTTCAAGTCCTACAAGAGGCAACTTAGAAGAAAGTCCTGATGACCTACTTCTGAAAAATTAGCCATTAAAATCCCTATGGAGCACAGTTACACCCTGACATACATGGGGTCACTGAGACAGAGTTGACTCAATGGCAACTGGTTTAACAGGTCACATTATCAGAAAAAAAACGTATCAGAAGTATCTTTCTCACTCTTCTCTGAACCAATGATATTTCTAAAGTTGCCTTTTGCCATAACAGCTTTAAATGAAAATAAAGTTTTATTGATATCTTGGCTGTGCCATCTAATAACTATGTGACCTGCAGCAAATTCTGTAATTTCTCTTGCTTTAGTTTCCATATCTGTAAAATGGTAAACATTGTGGCAGAGAGTAAATAAAGTGCATGGCCCAAAATAGCCACTCTGTGTTAGCATTAACATCATCTACTTACTATAATTTTTGGAGAGAAACCATCAGCACAAAATTAATAAAAATCAACTAATTTTCAAAATGGAGAAACAGGCACAGTTTAATTGTTGGAGATATTGGTTTAAGGTGTTGATTTGGGCTCTTCTTTTTTGATGGGTGCATTTATTGCTATAAACTGGCCTCTGATCACTGCTTTTGCTGTGCTCCAAAGATTTTGGTATGTTGTGTTTTCATTCTTTGATTCAAGGAACTTTTTAATTTCATTTTTTATCTCTTCTATTACTCAATCGTTCTTAAGGAGGATGTTGTTCAGTCTCAATGTGTTTGCTCTTTTTCTGTTGATCTTCGTATTGTTGATTTCTAATTTGATAGCATTGTGATCTGCAGTATTTCAATGTTTTTAAATTTGTTAAGGCTTGCTTTATGGCCTATCATACGGTCTATCCTGGAGAATGTTCCATGTGCAATGGAAAAGAATGTATATTGTGCTGAAATAGGCACAGTTTAAAAAAAAAAATCAAACTTACTATTGGCTTGTCTTAGAATTATCTGTTCTAAGTACTTGTAGCTCAGGTAGCATAGAGCCTAAGGCACTTGACTACTAAACAGAAGGCTGGCGGTTCAAACCCACCAGCCAGTCCTCGGAAGGAAGATGGGGCAATCTACTTCTGTAGTGATACTGCCCCGGAAACCCAAGGAGGGGTCACTATAAGTTGAGTCCGACTCGATGGTACATAACAACAACAAGTACTTGTAGCAGTCCCCTACCTCCTCCCCAGACCCCCCAAAAAAACTTCAAGTACAAAGGGAATCCTATTCTATCAGAAAGGAACTTGCTGATCATGATTTTGTAATTGATCTTTCTAAGGCATGCCTTCCAGGCACAGGGTTAGTAAGGAGATGGGTCACCTCAAGATGCTATTACTAAGAGATGGCAGCAAACAGCAGTCTCTCCTTCAGGAGACATTCATCTTTCCTTCCTTTTGTGTAAGATTAAGTTGCTCCACCCTCACGTCCCACACCCCCAGGTACACATTTAATTGCTTAGGAAGGGTCCTAAACATGAAAATTCCTCTCAACAGAGGTTATTTCTGCAGCCACCATGCTGTTGTTACATAGAGATTGCCAACTAGTTCTAAGAAGTGAGAAGGGAACTACTTCTAGTTCAAATTTTGGTGTAAGCACTTAATTTAAAAGCAGGCAGATAGCGTTTTTTGCCTCTGCTGCCTGTTTTAGCTAAGCCAATGAGGGGCACAGAGAGACTGACCACCTCCTCTAGGCTACAGTGGGGTAAAACAGATTTCAACCTCCGAAATTTCCAGTTTGGGGACCTTCCTTGGTGAGTTATTTTTTTAAATGTCAATATTCTGGGAGGTAAGCAGATTCAAGGCAAAAGTACACTAAGGCATAGACACAGTGGCAAGACAAATATTAAGTGCTAGTGGTTGGATCCGTTACTTCTTAGATGACAGAGTTGGCCTGCAGGTATCTAAGATTTACAAAATAAGCAAATGCTTACTTTATCTTTGACACATATGAAATTATACAGAAACAACACACAAACTGCTTAAAATGTAAATATTCTTTGGTTTACTCATTAAAATAGCAAATAACAAAATAGCAAAAACCTTATCAGTTAAATAAAAAAGTGACATTCTTTATTTACCTATCAAACCTTAACATTTGAAATGCATTCATTTTCATGCTCACCTTCTGTAGCAATATCTTTTCTTCCCTTTTGCCCGTCCTCCCCCCACATTAAGTTTTTCTTAATACCACTTACTTTTAATTATCCCAATATCAAGAACAATCTAGATTGTCTCTTACATTTGAAATTGATATTGAAAAATGGAGATTTCATCAGCATATTTTCAAGATAACATAAAAGTCAAGCTTTAACCAAGTATTTTGAGGCAATGGCATATTACATTTCTGGGAATTTGAGTATCACCATTGGATTCAAAAACAGTACTCAATTTCAGAAGCATATTCTTATATTGGACATTACTGATAATGATAATATACAATATGGTCCATTTCCACAGTCATGACCTCAAGTGAGCAGTGTTCTATTTTTCTAAGGGTTCAATTTGATGCCTTCCAGCTTAATTCTTGAATGTCAATGACAAAAACTATAATGAAAGGATCAGGGTTAACTTGGAAATGCAATTGCTTCTAAAGGAGCAATAACAGCAGGGGAAAGCTATCGGCTTTTTAAAAGAGGTACATATACGTTGTAAGAAACAGAAATGAATCAAAATATATAACTTTATATGTTAGAAATATCCTATGTGCCACCAATACAACAACTGCCCTAAAAAAAGATGTCTTGAGGTTTGAACTATACACACACACACACACACACACACATATATATATATATATATACACATATATATATATATATTTGTATAACTCTATAGTTGCATTATCCAACCATCCACTGATCTGTTAACTGTTAGGAAGTTTTAACTAGAATTTTTGGAAATATGCTTTTCTTAATAAAACAAGCCCCATAAAAGCACCTTCATTAATGCTTGACAATTGAACCGGGCAAAGTCTATCTGAAATATGTGTAATCTTTAAAAAATTCTTTATTCCTTCATAAATCAGCAGTGCTCCATCTTCAGATAAATCACCAGCAGTCACAATCTTAACTCATATGCTCATATGTTCTCTTCATCCAACATTTTGTTGACACCATCACAGAGTTTTTGTAAGTGGGGTTTAAAGTTTCCAAAGGGATTATACAACGCAGCCAAAAATTCACAATCTGAAAAATGATCAAAGACGTTATTAACCCGTCCATGTGACTTTGCGGTAAGGTGGCGTTGAATGATCTGGTGGAGCATCTCTCTGCATTCATTTAGCAGCCTGGACAACACATTGCGGTCAAAGGTGTAATCCACCTGATGGAAGCTGACCACGGTCATAGCAAGCTGATGAACTTTCTTCTTAAATTTCTCCATGAGTGCCAACTCATCTTGATTAAACTGATTATTCCTGTAAAGAATGGCCAGCTTGATGACTGTTTTGATGAGGTTTTTAATGATTTTCTCTGCCTCTTTCTTGTTTTGGGTGTACTCCTTGGTCACTCTGTAGAGCTCATCTAAAACCTCGCTACTTGTGTCATCGATTAAGGTGGTGGCAATGGATTTGGACACCATTTTACCCAAGATCTTCTTTTGTGCCTGAACAGCCAGGTTTTTGGAATTAAACACATCTGTGGCCACTAAAAGCAAAGGAGAAAAGAATAAAAGATCAGTAACTATCAACCAGAGAAGCAAATTACAAAACAGATATTGGAGGCTTTTTTCTTTCTCATTTTCTTTACTATTTGTGACTTGCCTCCCATTTACTGTCATTAGTCTCTTCAGTTGTTGCTGTTGTTGTTATGTGCCGTTGAATCAGACCTGACTCATAGTGACCCCTCCTTGGGTTTCCGAGGCAATATCACTATGGAAGTAGATTGCCCAACCTTCCTTCCGAGGAGTGGCTGGTGGGTTTGAACCTCCAGCCTTCTGGTTAACAGTCAAGTGCCTTAGGCACTATGCTACCAGAGCTCGGAAGATATTTAAAAAACATGTTCTACATTTCTGGGCATTAGTTTCTCATTTGTGTAATTCAAGGGGTTGATGTGTAAATCTTCCCAATTCAAGTACTTGATATATTTTTATTATAAAGGAGGCCTAGTGACACAGTTGTTAAGTGCTCAACTGCTAACTGAAAGATTGGTGGTTTGAATCCATTAACCATTTCACAAAAGAAAGATGTCTGCTTCTATAAAGATTACTGCCTGGGAAACCCTATGGGGCAGTTCCACTCTGTCCTACAGAATTACTAAGAGTCATAATTGATTCAATGGCAACAAATCAGGTTTCTGGCTTATTACGTAATCAAGGAGCTCTGGTGGCACAATGGTTAAGTGCTCAGCTGCAATCCAAAAAGTTGGTGGTTTGAACCCACTAGCTGCTCCATGGAAAAAAGACACCTGGTGATCTACTTCCATAAATACTAAACCTACTGCTGTCTAGACAATTCCAAATCATAGTGATCCTATAGGAGAAGAACTGCCCTCATGGGGTTTCCAAGGCTGTGAATCTTTACAGAAGCAGACAGCCACATCTTTCTTCTGTGGAGTGGTTGGTGGGTTTGAACCACTGACCTTTCAGTTAGAATCTGAATGCTTTAAACACTGTGCCACCAGAGCTCCTCCATAAAGATTAGAGCCTAGGAAATCCTACAGGGCAGGTCTATTCTGTCATATAGGGTTACTATGAGTTGGAATCAACTCGATGGTACAGAGTACCACTATGCAGTCAACACTTTCTTTAGAAGTTAAAGATGACAATCTTTCTGAAAAATAGCTTTTTGATTATAAAAGTAGTATATCTCATGAGGTAATAAGCTATTATGCAATTTACCCTAGTTTAAACTTATGAGAAATACATCAAAAATACAAAATCAACTCCAGAACCGTCCTCTAAGTAACAGCAACCAAAATCAATTTAAAGACACCCAATTAAACATATGGTTCTTATTTAGCCTTACTTTAGTGCAAGAAAATGCTTGAAGCCTTTTCAATGATTTAAAAGCTGCATGTGCAGCAAGTGAAGGTGATTATGATGAAGAATTTGTTGTAAGTGGGGGTTGGTTCAATCTTTTTAAAGTGAAGGCAACTTTACATAACATTAAAGGGCAAGTAGGAGTTGCCGCTAAGTCTGATGTTGGTAAACCAAGGACTGCTTGTACTAGAAAGGAATATTCCTTGGAGAGCCTGTTTGATGAATGGCCATTATTCTTTTAAACTTTGTATATGTTTTGAGGAAATAACCATACTTCACGAACTAATGATATGTGCTTTACAAACAACAAACTTTGGAAAAGTTGATATTTGGACTTTACTTTTGGATCTATCATAACCCTTATTTTGACAGATGTTGAAGATACATATATAATAGTTATATGTATTAGATATATTAACGGGACACCATATGTGATGCAATAAGGAGCTCTGGTAGCACAGTGGCTAAGTGCTTAGCTTCTAACCTAAAAGTCAGCAGTTTGAATCCACCAGCCACTCCGTGAGAGACAGATGTGGCAGTCTACTTCCATAAAGATTACAGCCTTGGAAATCCTATGGGACATTTCTACTCTGTACTATAGACTTACTACAAGTTGGAATTGACTAAAAACCAACAAGTTTTTTTTTTTTTTTTTTAAATATGTGATGCTCCTAGTCTGGTCTGATGAAAATAAATGTTTAAACCCAAACCAAGTTTAATTTTTCTCTACCACTATTTTCCTACATTCTGTGCATGTTGCAATCTGGAAGTTATCCCCTACAGCTAGGCTTCTTCCCTCTTCTTCCATGTCCTCGGGAGTTCAGTGCCCTAGAGTCTGCCCTCCACATTTGGGGCCAGGGATCACTGTTTTTTATGTATATGCCTGTGTATGAGCCTAGGGTTATTGTTGGAAAGTGGTCACTGGGTCGTTTGTAGTCATAGTGTGCCATCAAGTCAATTTTGACTCATAGCAACTGTACAGTACAGAGTTGAACTGCCCCATAGGGTTTCCAATGCTATAATTGTTATGGAAGTAGATGGTCCAACGGAGCGGCTGGTAGGTTCGAAATGCCAATTTTCTGGTTAGCAGCCCAGCACTTATCCACCATGCCACCGGTCATTGGGTAGTGGGAGATAAAGGACTGAAAAATACAGACACATAAAGAATGAGTAAGGGGAAAAAATGATATAAAATTGTTTCTAGTTTGGATAAGGTAGAAACATTAGAAAGCAAAAGGCAGCTGTTTCCAAATTAGGCTGGAGGAAAGTAAGAGTGACCCACTCAATGCAGAATTGCCCTGTCAGATTTGAAATCGGAGTAAAGGGGGGCTCTGGACTAAAGAAGCTCATGGTATATAGTACAAGTAGCTGCAAAGTGGTTTCTAAGTTCAGAACGCCATTTATAAAAATGCCAACATCCCCACCACTGAAAGAATGTTTTGATTGAACTGGAAATGGTGCCCTCACAGATGTTGATATTAAAACTTCTGAAACATGAACTGAAACTGCAGAAGAAGAACTTGAAATGTATTTTGAAAAAGAAAAGGAAAGTGAAAAATTGGGAGAGACACCCAACTTACTGTAGAAAGTTTCTAAGCATTTTAATATTTTCCTCATCAAGCACTATTCCATTTCTATTCCTAGTGTTAAACAGTTTGCAATAGAATGTAAGAGCTAATTTACACTTAAAAATTTGTATCAAAAGAAATGGTACTCATATAATCACATTCAGATCAGGGACCATCTTCCATTGTGTAACTTTTATTAAGAATTCAACACAGAAATAAACTTGATTTAGACAGGAAGGGATACCCTAATGGTTTTCATATACACAGCAAAAAAAAAAAGAGTAGGATTTCTGGAATTTATTTTGCATAAAGTTGAAAAGTCACTCTGTTTTTAATCTATCAAAACATGGCACATTCTCCAAACACCCATGTGGAATTTACTGCAAAATCTATTAGACATTTCAAGGAAATAACTGAAAGCAGAGGGAGAGAGGGGCTCCTAAGATTCTTCTCTGCTCCTTTTTCCATGGTTGAAGCTTTAAGTTTATACCTCTTCTTAGCTACCTTCCTATGAAATAGAAGTGTCCTGTTAACGTCAACTGTAAAGAGGAAACTAAACAAAACTGCAATGGTGCAGTACTTTAACTTCCTATAAGAGAAAGCTTAAAAGGCAAGTCTGCTGCCAACTAAGCAAGATCATTCTCTCATTTACTGGTAACCAAGGCTGAAGTGGGACAGAAGCTGATCTCTGAAACTTTTACATGTGTCCCAGGGGAACTTTAAATTCTGCTGTAGAAATGTAACAGCAGCTTCAGACTTTCATTTTATTCTTGGGACTTTTAACAGGGCAGTCATCTTTGTAAATAAGGACAAAGCTCTTTCTCCTCTCTGCTGGGAAGATATACATGCAATGGAATTTATTTTTCAGCACCAGTGAAGGCTTCATCCAAGCCAACTGGGGGTTGTGGCTGAGAGTTGCTGGCCATGCCTATGTGGTCTGTGGTGATGAAGTATGATTCTGCCCTTCCCCCCGCCTTTATAAATTAACTGTTTTAGCCATTCCAGGTTCTTTAAATGCCTAGGGTATCTGAGAGCTAGTCTTGGACCAAGACCTTCTCTTTCACTATACCCTCAGCCCTGTGTGATGTCATCCATTCCCATGACTGCAGACATTACCCATGCACCAATGACTCCTGCAGTTACAACTCAGCCCTGCCTCTTTTCCAGATTCATTTTGGCAAATGCATTCAAGATTCTTCTTTTTGCAGGCATCTCAAATGCATCATATGTCCACAACTGAATCCTTGATTCCCATCTGCGCCCTAAAGAGCTTCTCATCCTGTCTTTATTAATCTCAATTAATAGCATAATTTTCATTCATTTGCTCAAACCAGAGACCTGGCAGTCATCTGCCATACCATTTTTTCCCTCACCTAGTTCATTATCACATTCTTTCCATTCTACCTTCCCCCAAATGAACTAAATTCTACCCATTTCCCCTGACACCAACCTAGTCTAAGCCCTTTTCCAAACTCTTCTTACACTGCAGCTAGAGTGGTTTTAAAAATGTAAATAAGAAAATGACTCTCCAAATTAAACTTCTCTCACTTCCTTGCTAACCATTACACTTCTAGGTTCCTGAAATCATCATATTTGCCTAAATTTTTATAGCCTGCCTTTTCCTACTAAATTCTAAGCTCTTTGAGAGTACAGCTTCTGTATATAGTGTTCGCTGCCATTCCCTAGGCCTAGAACAGTGTCTGATACATGGTGCTTCTGACCAAAGCAGAAATCAATCTCCTCATCTCTTCACTATTGTTAGCTATTTCTCTATGAAAACATGCTGGCATACAAAATCAGTCTGAAATAGATATATACATGGATATTTTTGTTTATTTTTAAAATTCTGAGTAGCAGATATTTGTTTTCCCTTACTAAATATGCAGTTATCTTCCTTTTAAATGTACTCCAGAGTGTGGCTTCTCTGACTGTTATTAATCAGGTTTCTTAAGAGAAAAGATTTGTTATACAAAGGGGAAAATGTCAGAGGACAGTGACCCAAATATGTAGAGTGCAAGGTCCAATAGTTTTGACTTAAACTGCAGTGGATCATTAGATACACGCCCACCTCTATGTCTGAAAGGATCTATGTTTTAAAT